TTAACCTGTTTTGGAAAATTGTAAGTAGGTTTCTGGTATGAACAGGAGAGTTTTGAAATGGTAAAGAAATTGCCACTGTTTCTACAGTTTGGCCACATGGGTTTTGATTCTGTATTTTTATTTTTCCTGGGGAAAAAGCTTTGAGTCAAGTGGCAGTAAGGCAAAGATAGTTGACATTCTTAGGTGAGTAATTCGGTTTTTGCTGGGAAAGAAGGCTGCTATTTTATTTAAGGCTGATGATCAATTCTTGCAGTGGTTTGAGAGCCCAGCTATGGTCAGGACACAGTTTAGACCTCAGTTCCTCCACTATGATTTCAGACAAGTTACTGAATCTTTTTGTATCTCTGTGTCCTGGTGTGTGAAATACAGACCATCATAGTACCTCTCCCATGGTTGCTCTGTGGATTCATTCAATCAAGAAGTGCTTGTGGAGTCCCTGCCACATGTTGGGCACTGGGTAGGGTCTCTGCATGCAAGTGGAAGAGAGGAAATAAGATTACACGCTGCAGTTAGGGCCCAAGAGGAAACACACCAGGTGATGGGAGCTGCAGCAGGTGCATGATAAAGGGCAGGCAGAAGGCATCTCAGGTCCGGTACTTTTTCTGAGACCTGAAGGGTAAGAAGTCTTGTGAAAATAAGATTAAGTGAGCTAATGACTAAAACATTTAGCAAATGACTGTCATATGTGCAGAACAAAAGTTAACTCTTCTAATTCCAAAAGGAATTCAACATGGTTTTGAGCATTGACAGCATTCTTAGAATAAATACGAGAAGTGCAAATTATTGGACACCCTTCCCCCACACTTACTGAATCTGGAGGTGGGTTTTAACAAGCACTGCAAGTGATTCTGATGCAGCTAACATTTGAGATCCATTGGTCGAGAACTGGTGTTCAAACTTGGCGGCACATTGGAATCATCTAAGGAACTTTAAAACTGGTGCCTTAGAGAAACGGACTTAATTGGTCTGGGTGCAGCTTGGGCACAAGGATTTTTAAAGAGTCTCTGTTGATGCTAATGTGCAGTCAAAGCTGAGAACCACTGGACTAGAAAAACAAAATTCATAATCACAAAGTACAGGGATCCAATTTTTTTTAAGTAGTCACACCTGCTTTGCCTCTGGAACAGGACTGTAGGCTCTGTTGACCCCACACCTCGTATTCAAGCATGCAGTGAGCCTCAGCAAGTGACCTGAGAGCCCAGGGTGGGCTAATGAACACAGTGGGAGAGCCCCACTCTGGGCAGTCTCTGGGCTGCACCCTGTTTAAACAATCACATGTTTTCCAGCACACATTCTGGCTGCTAATTACACACCTTCCAAAAGTGACAACTTCTGCAGATGTAAGTAATTAGGATTACTCTAACTCCATTTGAGGATGCCTGCCATTCCCTACTTCCTACAAAGCAAATTGCTCATGATTACATATTTGACTGGGAAGCCGTATTACAAATTATTCCTTGTTAAGGGTTTAAAACAAAGGACATATGAATAAGAAATCACAGTTAAAAATACTACCCCCTAGCTCACAAAATGCTTAAAAAGTGGGAGGGGTATCTAAGGAAGACACATGAGGGGCATTTGATGGGGGAAGGTGTTCAATACAAAGTGGCTCCCAAATAGAGGTAAATGTCGAGTAAGGGATCAAGCATCCCAGTCAGTGGCACTGAGGCCACAGAGGCCACTTCGGTGGGTCAGCACTTGGGACCCAGGCAAGTAGTTCCCATCTGAGACCTGATCATGGCAGCAGGGTCCGGTCACTAAGCAAAGATTTGGAGGCCGACTTCATTCTTAGAGGGGGAACTTTCCAACTTTTCCAAGTTTCATTGGAACTTTCCAATGTTTATCCAACATTCTTGGATAGGGGCAAATGTTGAACCTTTGGACAAAGATTTATGCCAAGATTGAGGGTGGAGAAGAGGGGGAAATAAACCCTTTAGCCCAAACCCACACCTGTGTTCCAGGCTTTTTCTGTGAGGGCTGCACACGCCATCCAGGGTCACCCCAGAGGACACTGGGTCCCAGTCTGCAATCCCCAATGGAAGAACTTGGAGTATTACTGTAGCTAGCAGATATCTCTGAACTACCAGGTGATGATAATGGCAAGAGTGAACCAGCCTGGATGAGGGATGTGGACCACTTAATGAGAGGAAATGAAACAATACATTGAAGTAGTTAGCAGAGTGCACATAGTAAGGGCTCAATAAATGGTTTAATCTTATATATTTCTTGCTCTATTGGAAGTGACTCAAGACTATGGGTGTGGGGAACTTGCCTGAATTTACATGTCAAGACAACAGTGGACTCAGCCATGATGTATCAGGAGTCAATCCAGAGAAACAGGAACTGTGAGTGATAGGGAATACGGGATTTGTTAAATGATTAGACTTTACCTACGTGTGAGAGCTGGTGGAGACATCAAGGCAGGACTGTTAACCTCTGTATCTGACATGGAGCCTAAAGTAGCTATAGGTCGGCTAACCTGGTAGTTGGAAAAGAAAGCTTGATAGGAACAAGAGAAAATGCAATCTGGAACCCACGTCTGTCTTTCACCGCCTCCAACCTTGACGCTGTGGGTGACTTCCAGGGGAAGTCTCTTCCCTGTGGAGTTGCGTATAATCAGCCTAGAACAAGGCAAGCTAGTAGATCAGCAACAATGTGTGTGAGCACCCACTGTTCCTGGTCCCCTGCTCCAACCTTCAGGGCATAAAAAATATGTGTGCCGATTCACAAATCTTTCTCTGGTGGTCACTGCTAACTTAGGACCATACCGGGAAGGGAATTCTGGGAAGGCAGTCCTGTAGTCCCTGTTTAGCTAAATTGGCAGCACATACACTGTTAGGGAAGTCAAGGAAAGAGTGGAGCACTTGTTCTTAAGCAGGGAAAGTGATAATAGCAGGATGTCATTTAGATTACATTGTGATTTTGGTTTCATTATCCCTGTGTTAGCTGAAACCAAGTCTTTATTAAAACAGTATCCTGCATAATATTCCATGGAATATTATGCAGCCATCAAAAGGAATGAGATCTTGCCATTTGCAATGACGTGGATGGAACTGGAGGGTATTATGTTGAGTGAAATAAGTCAAACAGAGAAAGACATGTATCATATGATCTCACTGATATGAGGAATTCTTAATTGTAGGAAACAAACTGAGGGTTGCTGGAGTGGGGGGTGGGCTGGGAGGGATGGGGTGACTGGGTGATGGACACTGGGGAGGGTGTGTGCTCTGGTAAGCACTGTGAATTGTGCAAGACTGTTGAATCTCAGATCTGTACCTCTGAAACAAATAATGCAATATATGTTAAGAAAAAAAAAAGAAGAAGAAGAAGGTAGCGGGAGGGGAAGAATGAAGCGGGGGAAATCGGAGGGGTGGACGAACCATGAGAGACGATGGACTCTGAAAAACAAACTGAGGGTTCTAGAGGGGAGGGGGGTGGGAGGATGGGTTACCTGGTGGTGGGTATTAAGGAGGGCATATTCTGCATGGAGCACTGGGTGTTATGCACAAACAATGAATCATGGAACACTTCATCTAAAACTAATGATGTAATGTATGGGGATTAACATAAGAATAAAAAAAAAAAAAGTAGCCTGCTACTCTCTTTTAGGTGTCTAGGGGTCAGCTGGGGTTGGCTGAGCCTGGCTGGGTTTGGCTGGGTGGCTGTAAACAGCAGGCTGGGTCTGGATCTGGTCCCACGCCACCCTTCTTCCTCAGACCAACAGACTAGCCAGGACAGAGGTGTAAGGGCCATGTCTGCCAATTTCCCCTTGGCCAAAACAAGTCATGTGGCCGAGCCCAAAGTCAAGGAGGCAGGGAAATACAATTCTCCCGTGGAGGTGGTGGGAAGGGAAAGGGAGTGACTATTTTTAGGAAGTAATCTAATCGGCCACAGTCATTAAGTGTCAGGCTTGGCATTTCAATCCAATACTTTTGACTCCAAATCGCATGTTCTTCTGTGGCAGCGTTGGAATAGTAGAAAAACTTCCCAAGTGATAAAATGGAAGCGGTTTGAAACATTAAAACAAGTCAGCCACTCTCATGTTGCTGGCCAGACAGCAGACAGCAAGCCCACGGGACTAGTCTTTGCTACCTATGCGTTTTGAGATGAGCAAGGCTTTGGCTGTGTTTTCCATATTCAAATTCAGAGCAATATAACTCTAGTCACAACTGATTAATATTTCCAAAGTCTGCCATACTATCCAGTTGAAGATATTTATTAGCTCTAATTATAGAGAGAAATGGGACTTTGGCTCATATGATGTCATTAAAAGTGAGATGTAATACCCATGGGAACCCACACTACCCACCTTCCTGATGTGTCTGTTTCCTGGTTGCTAGAACTTTGGGATGATCATTTTGAATGTTTCTATGACAGCCAATTCCCTGATGCATTTCAGCAGTGCCCAAACAGTTTGCTATCCAGAATTTTTCAAATCAGGCAAGCAATGCTCACTTCAAGTCTCAGATGACTTGTGTTGCCATGTCTGAAACCTTGAGCTTTGGACGCTGGACAAAGTCTGCCAGCTATAGCTTATACGTTTCTAGCCAAATGTGGCCTACTCATGGCTTGTCCATCTGGCACGGCTAAGCACTCATTGCTCGATGCTGAGTTAGGCGAAAAAAATCAGTGACGTTAGACATGAAGCAAGACTTTCTGTTTATAAAAGTGTTAAGATTGTTAGTAGTTAACCCCAAAATGGATAAGTAGTGTCATTCAATCAGTAAATATGCTTCAGGCATTTTTTTGTTTTTGTTTTTTGTTTATGGGAGTTGAGCCTAATAGGTGCAAGGGGGAATTTAAAAAATAGAAGTATATTATGGAGAATCTTTAAGAACAGGATGGAAATGTTTTTCACCTGTAAGTGACCCAAATGCATGTGGTGGTAGTTAAAGGATTGGAAACTTGGTGCTCTTTGCCAAATGTACCCCTTATGCATCATCACTCTTTTTTTTTTTTAAAGATTTTATTTATTTTTTTGAGAGAAAAAGAGAGAGGGAGGGAGCATGAGCCGGGGTGGGGGGTTGCAGAAGGAGAGAGAACCAGGCTCCCTGACTCAGGGCTCGATCCTAGGACCCCAGGATCACGACCTGAGCCAAAGGCAGGTGCTTAACTGACTGAGCCACCCAGGCGTCCATCATCACTTTTAAGGGAATCACTGCATGTATGTAACGAGGCAGGAAGAATGCCTGTGGCCAGATGGCTCCAGTTTTCTTGCTTGTTCCTGCACCATCTGTGAGCTCAGTGGGTCAGGGCCCTGGGCAAAGAGGCCAAGGACATTACTGGTCACCTCTCCAGGCCTTGGTCTCTCAACTGTAAAACCAGGGGGGTGTAAAGAAATAATTCTGAAGGTCTCTCTCAGCTGTTGTGATGTGACTTTTGAGCAGGTGAATGATTATTTCTATTCTCTGGTGAAGTTGTCCCGATTTGCCTGCAGCAGCAACCTAGGGATGAGTGCTGTGCTCTGGGCAGGGTGAGGGGCTGAAGGAAGAGAAGGAGTGGAGAGCTGACAGGGGCCAGGGCCTGTGGGGGGAGCCAGAGCCCCACTGGACAGGAGTGTTGACATCCCAAGCCCATGCCAGCAGCCGAAAACTCCTGGGCCCGCATGTTCTCCTTCCCAAGGGACAGCCTACTTAGTGTGAATGATATCTGTGGGAGCTTCACTCCGAGGTCTGAAGCAAACACAGCCCACTGGTTACCGGCCGAGGTGACATCTTGAGACCACCCACCTAGCTGGGCTTTTGCGTTCTGGCTGCCCTGTCCGAGATGGTAGCCACTGGCTACATGTGTTTGTTTGTTTGTTTTTAATTTACATTTCAATTCAGATGAAATAAAATTAAGAAGTCAATTCTTAATTTTGAGTACCCGTGTACACAGGTAGCTTTGGCTTGTGGCTACCATATTGGAGGATTCAAGTAAAGAACATTTCCATCATCACAGAAAGTTCTATTGAATGTCTCTGGTCTAGAATGCCACAGAGTGCTCAAACACCGAAGAAATATGAAATGCATCTCCTGACTTCCTCTTCTTATATTACCTTTCTTTCTTTGCTTGCATTAGAATGGCCTAGCAATATATTCCTTAGAGGCTGAAAAAGATGAGATGTTTGATATCAAAGACCTGGGTTCACATCCCAGCTCCCCCATGTCAAGTTTACAAGAGTCACTTCATCTGTTTCTGTGTCAGTAAAATGAGGATAATAAACCACCTCCCCAGGTTGTGAAGATCAGGTGGGATAATAAACATAAAGTTATTGATAAGCCCTATGCACTGTACAAATTCTCTCTAAATGATGCACAAAGAGGAGAAGGAGGGGAGATTGTCATTAGAGTTCTGTCAAAAAAGGGGTGGGTTTTGGAATAATATTGGTGGCTTTTCAGAGGGGGCTGTAAAGGTAAAATCAGGACACTTTCCTTGAGGGGGAAAGCACCTACCTCCCACTCCCCACTCCTTAGGGGGTCTTGGTGCAAACATAATAGGCCTAGAAGAGGCATGACCTTTTGATTTTATAATGCAAGGTCGAGGGCCTTCTGAGCCCCGGAACTGTAAACACACACTGTGAACATGAACTAGGAGTCTCTGGAGGTACTCAGAAGATTATCACAAGGCTCACCGTTTGTCTCTCAAGGAGATGAAAGATGAGAGAAGTTTTCCTTCTTCCTTCTTCCACCTTACTTCATAAATTCATATGAAATTGTGTCCCAACTCCAATCACTTTTGAGTCACCTTCCATGTGAGTCTGTTGGTTTTTACCTAACAATAAATTGTGTTTGCTCTCTTCTGTATGGGTATGAAGGGGTCTTTTTGTTGGCAAGATTGTTTTCTTTCCCCAGCAGGACCAGAGAATACTTGGATTTCCGATGTGGAATGGAGCTACCAAAGGGAAAGCACCCTTCTGGAGGAGATGGGCTCAGAGGAAGGAAGGGCTGGGTTTCTGGCTGACTTTCACATCTGGGAGGCTGCATATGAGACCCAGGCCAGAGGAGAGCAGCAGCTCTGGTATCCCGAGGCCCAGCAATGACACAGCCCAGGAAGGGAAAGGAGTGAGTACTATAGGCCAATCCTCAGACTGCCTGGCCTTATGCCTCTAGCATGGCAGACTCTCTGATAACTCTAAAAATGTTACCTCTGGAAAAGTCCTTGAAGTGAAATTTCTCTCTCTCTTTTTAAAGATTTTATTTATTTGTTTTTTGTTTGTTTATTTAAAGAGTGAGCTGGGGGAGGGGCAGAGGGAGAAGGAGAGAGAGAGAATCTCAAGCAGACACCGTGCTGAGCACAGAGCCCCATGAGGGGCTCGATCTCACAACCCTGAGATCATGACCTGAGCCAAAATCAAGAGTCAGATGTATAACCTACTGAGCCACCCAGGTGCCCCTGAAATTTCTGTTTTAAGTGCTACAGGGCTTTGCCTTACATGTGATTTCAAATCACTGAGCTTTCTGCAACAAAAGTCCTCACAGTTTCCTAGAAGATGGGAAGGAGCCCCAGGTCATCCTATGAATTAGTGGTGGAAGCAGGTGGCAGATTTTGAGCCCGTGTGCCCTTTGCAAAAGGGTGATGGGTGATCACACACACGTAAGTACAGTGTGACACAAGGGCAGGGCGCAGGGTGCAGGCACAGGGCGAGGGGCGCCCAATGGTTCTAAGAACTAAGACAGCTGAGGGAAAAATGAAGGAGGCAACCACCTCTTCTCACCAAACCTGGAGCTTACACTTAGGTCCAAAAAGCAAGTGAGTTGGCAATTTCTAAGAAGAATTTAGCCAAAACCACTATATACATATATTCCATTCAATATGCTTTCCAATATTCCTAATTTTATTACATCATGGGATATCGGACAACTGCTTTGCACATGTGTACATTGGGGAACTTCTCCCTCACTGCATCTCCTCACGTAGGCATTTTGTCAGGTCATGTCATCACAAAAACAAGGAGGGCGAGGACAGTACAATGAGACATTTTGAGCGAGAGAGACCACATTCACATAAATTTTTTACAGTATATTGTTAAAACTGCCCTATTTTTTTATTATTTATTGTTGTTAATCTCTTCTTGTGCATAATTTACAAATGAAACTTGAGCATAGGTATGTATAGGGAAAAACAGTATATGTAGGGTTCAGTATTTCTGGCAGGTTCAGGCATCCACTGGGGGTGTTGGAACGTATCCCCTGAGGGTGAGGGTGAGGGACTGCTATAGTGAAAACAGCGAAGATAGGCCTGCAACAGAGTGGGGAATGTAGCAGTGGGTGGACAGACGGTGAATGACTGGGATGGAGAGCTATAATCACCCAAATAACCCCGGCTGTCCACAGAGGAGCTGGAGGCCTCAGTACTATGTGCAGAGATCTACCAAGAAGCTACTTGGTTCCCAGGAGCACTGTGTGCTGTGGGAGGGGTTGCCAGCAAGCTGGGCCTTGTGGGCACAAAGTAGATCTTCCGTATTAAAATAGGATGGAAGGCAGCAGATTGGGGTCAAGGGAAGCCTTGGAAATTTGGAGGGGCCAGGGGAAAGGTAAGGGGGCTTTTATATTTCTAGGGTAGAGAAAACAAATTTGTATTTCAATAGAAAATTCTGCCTGGTCTAGAGGACACTCCTGCAGCTTTTCTGAGTCCAGCTTCTCATTGTCTTGAGCTATTTTGCAACTTTGTAGGCAACCCCAACACCACCACTAGATCATTCTTGCCTACATGTTCGGTACTGTCCAGTAAAGGTTCGATTGTCTGCCCTCCCACCATGTGAAAAGCCAGATTGTTCCTCCATCTGCATATTCATTTCAATATTCCTCATCCATAAATGTGTCTGTTCCTTGGATTCTCTTTTGAACTGGTTATAACATCTCCTGGTCTCTCCTTAGTTAAATAAAATGGTTCCCCCACTAGTTAAATAAAATCTTCAACATGTCCCTTTTTGTATCTGTATGAGGGTCATGATTTTTACCATTGGTTGAGAATTATCTTTTAATGGTTTTCCCAAGACTGTGGAGATGGCAGCTGGAAGTGCGTGAGGTGGGGGAGCCAGCTAGACACCCCTGGGTGAGTCAGGAAGTTGGTGACCGGGCACCAGGTGTGTGTGGAGGGGCAGAGTATGAGGGAGGGACAGAAAACAGCCCCGGATGTGGAGAGGAGCTGGGGGGGCACTCCTGGGAGTCTGCAAGGGCTGGATATCTGTGAGCCCCAGGGAGCCCACAGCCCCGTGTGAGGGAGAAGAGCTCTATACTGGACTCCCCCTAGCACAGTGCCTATTCTCTGGTGACAAATTTTCTTATCCTTGAATTCCTCATCTACAGAACTAAGGGTCTTAGGTGCTTTCTGAAAATCACTGCAGGATGAGGATTCCATGTTGTTCTGGAAACATCTCAGGACTAGGCCAATGGTTGTGCTAAGAAATCATCTAAAACCTGTAAATAAAGCAAAAGGATGGCTGTATGTCCTTCCAATATCATACCGGGATGTTATCCAACAGGACTTACCTAAGGATGATCTAAATCTCTATAGAAACATGAATCTGGCTTACAATTGATTATTGATTAGGGCTCAACTCATGAGACTAGATGTTAATTTGTGGAAGAGTGGACAGTTCTAAGTGATTTGATCCTGGTACAGAAGCAAATGATTTCTATCCACCAGAAAATATAACTCCCAGAAGTTTTATTGTCCTGTGAGACATTACCTAATTTCACATCTTATTTCAACATTCTTTCTTCCTCTAAGTGATTATGCCAGTCTCTCCTATTCTTCTTTGAACCAACTTTATCATTCTGCTGATTCCTTCATTAATGAGTTAAATAAATCTTTGACACATGCCCACTATAATTTGAATGAGGGTGATTTTTTTTAACCTTTTGAAATTTACCATATCAACAGTGTGGTTGCCAGCTGGTGGTAGACTCTGCATGATAGTGCCCGAGGTCTCCCCAAAGAGCAGTGTAATCTGCACTCTCCCATTATTCACCCAGTGCCTACCTTGTGCCTAGCACCCTGCTAGGTGCTGAAGTTGTGGGGGGTGGGTTGAGGAAGAAACAGACACTGATCTCAGAAAAGTCACACTTGTGTCCAGAGAAAAGTTGTTTCTTAAATCGACAATTGCAATGAAATGTGAGTCCCATAATAGAGGTTTCCGACTTAAAGCTTAGATACTTGCAACAACCCCTGCTGACGCCTGTGTTCATGTCATCTTTCATATAATGGGCATTTAAAATGGATGTTGGAGATGGTAGCTGGACATAAAAAAGAATGAAAGCTTGCCATTTGCAACTACGTGGATGGAACTAGAGAATATAATGCTAAGTGAAATAAGTCAGTCCGAGGAAGACAAATACCATATGATTTCACTCATATGTGGAATTTAAGAAACAAACAAAGAAAAAAGAGACAACCACCCAAACAGACTCTTAAACTGTAGAGAACAAACTAATGGTTACCAGAGGGGAGGGGGGAATGGAAGGATGGGTGAAACAGGTGATGGGATTAAGAGTAACAAAAAGGAAGGAAGGAAGGAAGGAAGGAAGGAAGGAAGGAAGGAAGGAAGGAAGGAAGGAAGGAAGGAGGAGGAGAAGAAAGAAAGAAAGAAAGAAAGAAAGAAAGAAAGAAAGAAAGAAAGAGAAAGAAAGAAAAAGAAAGAAAGAAAGAAAGAAAGAAAGAAAGAAAAAGAAAGAAAGAAAGAAAGAAAGGAAGGAAGGAAGGAAGGAAGGAAAGGAAGGAAGGAAGGAAGGAAAGGAAGGAAGGAAAGGGAAGAAAAGCAAAGCAAAGAAAAATGAACAAATAAAATGGTAGCTGAAATCTTCAGTGGCTAAACTGCTTTTGAACTACTCAAAAGTGTGGTGATGTTTAAAAGGAAATAGGAGTTTTCCTCTCTCTGAATCACTTCACCCCATCAAGACATGCCCAGCAGCCCAGGGGTTTTGAACTTCCCTGAAATCTCCCAGCACTATTTATTCTTCTTTTGCATTATGGTGGCATTAGCTTTCGTTGACTTTTTTTGGTCATGGTGTTGAGGTGAGGGTGGGACACAGACGAGCCCATTTGTTTTTCCAGGTTTCACAAACCTTTTAGGGGCTTGTAGATTGTGGCTTTAACAGTGTGATGCGCGCTGACCTGGTGCCTATTCTAATCGTGCCAATAGGTGGCGCAAGTTCACCTGTCAGGGCTGCCGCCGCGCCACACCGAAGACAAGGGCATTGAGATCTGGTGCTTCTGAATTTGAATCCTTTGTTAGTTTTGTGACCTTGGGCAAGCCAGTTTCTCCGTCTGTAAACTTGGGATGATGAAAATCAGCAGCCAGTGATGCTGGCTCAGGCCAGCTCCCTCAGGACGGGGTTCGTGGGCCAGTGTGCCCTGAGTGGAGGGTGTGTGAGAGAGAGGTGGTTAGGGCTGGGCTGTCGGTGAATTGCATGGAACATTAAGCGGGTGGGGTTTTTGTCCTAGGCAATGGGGAGCCACAGCAGCCTTCTGAGCAGAGGAATGATGGGACAGTATCACCCGTCATGACCCCTGGAAAGAGCAAGGACTGTCCAAAGCTGGGGACTAGAAAATTTCATCCTCATTTCCTCCCCAAACTTCTTTCCTTCACCTCCCTCCTGTCTTTCTCACCTTCTCCTCCTTCCTTCATTCATTCATTGATTCATCCATTCAACAAATATCTATTAACCGTAGCCCATACTGAAGATATGTTTTAGGTACTTGAATTAATCAGTGAATAGCAGTGACAAAGCTTCTTCCTGGAGCTTACAGAAACCCATTCACATTAGTGTATTTGTAGATTCATTTGTCTTCTTTAATATGGGCCTCCTGAGCTGTTTGGGGTCACCTTCCTCTCCATGTAAAGAAGCTGTGTCATGCTACTCTGGGTTGTCCAGTCCTTCCTTCAATTATATGAGATACTTCAGTATTTCCTCTTAATCTCCCTGCCTCTGTAGGACTAAGCTCACTTAAGGGCATGTCTGCCACATCCTACCAAAAGGTGCCTCTTAGAGAGGCTGACCCATCAAAGAAAACTGAAAAGAACTTCTTGATTATGTTAGGATGTAGGACCAACCCTATAGTGGGGCCTAGGGTCCGTGGCAGGATTCTCAGAGGCATCTGGATGTCTGGGCCCTGTTCTAATTCTGCAGCCCTAAGTTGGAGAAAGAATGTACTAGGAGAAGGAATGGGTTAGCCTGGAAAGCTGATGTAATAAAGGAAGACTGTGTTCATGTGTGTTTTCATTTGGATTCTTCTGAAAGCAGAGCCTGGGGCAAGGATTGGGTGCAGGTGGTTGATGTGGGAGATGAGCCTGGGAAGTAGGACTGTGGGAGTGAGGAAGTGAGTTGGGGGAGAAGGAAAAGCCATTATAAGGGCACATTCTCAAAGTTGCAGCTTGATTCTGCTAGACCCTTCCGAGAAGTATACAGAATGCCTCTTAGAATTATCCAGCTAAACAACGGAGACAGGAGCTTCCTTGCACGGGTTTCCAGCCCCACAGTGATTAAGAGTTGCCTTGGGAGTGTTAACTTTCTTAGTAAGCCAAGATGCTTGCTCCCTGGCTCTGTGAACACCTCTGTTTTCAGAGAAGACCCTTAGCATGGGGCTAAGGGAATCAGGGCCGCACAGAGCCGTCCAGGAGCTGTGGCTGGAAGCAGAAGTGGCCTGATGGCATGTGCTGCAGGCACGGGAGCTGTCTCCGCTGGTGCCTTACTGAGCTTTGTAGTCATAGTAAGTTGTATAACCCCAGGTTGGGTGAGGGGCTGCTGGCCAGATGAGGTCTTCTCTGGCTTATATCCAGAATACTAGCCTCTGTGCATAATCCCAGTCTTAAATACGGCGAGGAAATGTTGGGCTTCCAGAAATTCTGATGAGATCCTTCTTTAAGTGGCAAAGGTGAGGCTGATTTGGGGACTAAGGAGTATGAACCTCCTTTGGAACTCGTAATTTTCTCTACCGTGTACCCCAACTGTGCTGACTTCCTTAAACCTTTGATTTGTCCAATGGCATTAAAATGCCTGACTGTCCTCCAGCCTGGGCCACTGTAGGCATTGGTCACCATAGTCGCCAGGCACAAACCCTGCTTCAGGAACTGTTCTACAGGCTCCAAGTCCCATGTAAAGTTCTTCTGTGATGGTTGCAGCCAGCCGCAGAGTCTGCAACATGTGGAATGCCTGTCACTTTCCCCCCTGAAAGCCTGGCTCCATTTGATTGAAGTATTTTGGGGCTGGAAGGTTATCTGAGCCATCGCCATCACGCTTTGTCACGTGCAAACAAATGGCAGGAAATGAATCGGTGAGCCCTGCCAGTTTCCGAGGTTGGGCCGTGAATACTGGGGTTGTGAGTCACTGAGGAGATAGAGAGAATCTACTCATATGTCTCCAGCCACACTTAGAGTTTTTTGAGAGACAGAAGAGCCCTCCTGATCTGTGCCTATTCTTCTGCTCCTTGCACTTCATGAGTTGATTTTGCTTAGAGCCATGCAGCTGGGCTAACGAGGGAACCTGTCACTCACAAGGGCAGAGCCTGTATCATATGAGGCCCGAGAAGGAAAAAGACAGCAGCCACTAAGCTGGGACCCATACCTGGCCTGCAGAGTTCCCTCCCTGCTTAACACACAATTTCACGAACACCAGCATTGGACAAGTTCACTCTGTGACCACGATGAAGTGAAGCAGAACAAGGCCAAGCTGTCATCATGAGTGAGCAAAGACAAAAGCAGAAACACTGAGCAAACTACAAAAATGACCCAATAGCCTTCTCTCGCTGGAACACACAAATGGTTGTTGATCAACCACAGCTTTAGCCCCACTCTATTCCTCCCATTGCCTTCTATATAAAATTATTAAGATGCCCAATCATAAAATTGCCCCATTTTCTGACAGCCTCCAGTCTAGAGCAAGACCATACTTTCTGGAACTCTTCCCCAAATCACCTAACCCGAGCTCTGATCTCATAAGCCTCTTTCAACAGCCTCCTACATGGTTCTTCATGGTATGTGGTGTCTCTTGTTGCAACAAGCGCCAAAGACCCCGACTTGGATTGGCCGCAGGTGTGTTCTGGTGGTATTGACTACAGCTGCTGACAGGCCCAAAGGGAAGACGGCCTGCGCTGATCCGCTGCACGGGAGGGGCCCCCTGGATACCTGCCACATCCAATGCAGAAGCGCTCCCCGAAACCATCTGGCAAGGTGATTTGGGCTCTGAGACTGCGGGAGACATTGGTTGGTTGGCTCGTGTGGCAGGTGTTTTTGGTACCTAGAGTCACATCCTTGGCCCTCTTTGGATTTCAGCATCAGCTCTGAGAACACATTTCCATACAGGCTAGACTCATCTTACACCATATGAAGGTGTAAGCCCATGTCTTCCCACTTTTCTGCCTTGGGGTCTTCTCTGAAGCCTTGGGATCTTGCTTTGCTTCTGCAAGTGCAGTTTGCAAGGTGCATTGGAGATGTCTCCAGGGGCAGCCTCCAACCCAAGGGAGGGGAACTGGTGGAAAAATGTCCCAGAGTAGGAAGAATCAAGCCTCAATGCTCAGAACATTCTTATATTGGCTTTTCTTCCCTCCTTGTCTCATTCCCACTACTCCCTCACTCTTGCTCCCTGGAGTTACCTCCTAAATAAAGCACCTGCATCCAAGACCTTATTCAGATCTGCTCCTTAGATTACCCCAAACTAACATCCCTGCCCAGGACCCATCCACCACCATTCCCTCCCTATAGGGTTTCTTAGCCATAATATTGGCTGGGATTGTTTCTAGCCCCTAGCTCCAATCAAAATTTCCCAAGCTCCCAATCAAAATTTCACAGAGATCAGCTCAGGGGCAGGTGCATTCCTCAAGCCAGTTTAATCACAGTGATCCTCAGAGCTTTTTCTGAGGTTTCTGGGACATAGATTCGGTCTTTGCCACTGGGCCTGTAGGGGCGGTGGTTTAAAGATGCCCATACATTTTTTGTTACTCTTCCCTTTGATAGGTGGGGTTTGTTTCCCCCTCCTCTTGAATCTGAGATGATGTGTGACTGCTCTGAGCAATGGAGAACAGGGGAAGCGGTCCCATATCCATCCCAGGTCTGACCTTTAAGAGGACTGGCAGCTTCCGTGTTGGTCTCTGGGTGTGCTGAGCAACTGTGTAAGAGACCTGCTGCAGAGACCATGCCAGAGGCCCTGAGACCACATGGAGAGGGGAGCGCCCAGCTGATCCTCGCCTGCCAGCCACCCTTGCCGAAGGGCCCAGCATGGGAGTGCAATTCTTTTGGGCCCTCTAGAGTAGACCAGCCACAGTCAAATGCCACCAAGTGACACTAGTTGGAGCCACATGAAGCAGAGGAACTGACCAGTTGAGCCATTCCCAAACACCTCACCCACAAAATTGTGAGCTATAATAAAAACAGTTTTAAGCCGTTAAGCTTAGGGATAATTTGTTACACAGCAAAAGAGCATTGGAGCAGTGTAGTGAGGAGGGTGTGAGGTCTGGAATGATTGCGGCCAGAAGAGGAGCTTAAAGCCATCAGGTGGCCATCTTGGGGAACCAGGTAATAAAGCTAAGCCAGAGGGGAAACCAGAGCAAGTGATGGATCCCTGTGATCCCTTTTGAGTTCTGGATCAAGCCAGACCTGCAGGTAAACTATCCCAGACTTGCCAATTACCTGAGTTTATTATTTCTTCCTTTTGCTTAAACCAGTTTGGGTCAGGTCTCCTTTTGCTTGTAAACCAACATACCCCGAATGATCCCGCCCCCCAGTTTTCCTTTATGTTGTGAAGAATATAAAGTTTAGTTTTGTTCTGGTGCCTGCAATTGTTGAAAGGCAGTTACCTGATAAGAGTACATTTCAAGGACATCAGAAACCCCTGAACCTGGCTACATGTCAGAATCATCTAGAGATCTTTTAAATATATGGACGCCCAGGCCTCACCTGGTCTGTAGCATTTACTGGCTCAGGGGAAAAACAAAAATTCAAAGAAAAGGTTTGAGAGTGTTGTGAAAGCCTAGGTTCTGAGGGGAAGTGAGGGTATACCCCCATATCCTGAAGCTCTGAGGAGCCAGAGTGGAACTTCCATGCAAGCCCCCACCTCATGGTCTGAGAGATTGGACATGCCTAGGTGGAGCCCAGCAGACCTGGGAGAACAGTGTGGGGGTAGATGCTGATATGTGCCTTGGAAAGGGCGCTAGGCCAGTGCCCACCCCACACTGCAGTCAGGGGGGCTGTCAAGGGCAGGGCGCATCTGTGGCTTTGCAGGAGGACCCCACCTCCCTGGTTTGCTCTGAAACCCACAGACTCCAGGTAGAATGCCAAGCCTTCCACTGGGGAGGTGGGTGCTTACTTCCCACCCTCAGCACTGCTATCTTTCCTGTCTACCACTTCCAGGCCCTTTGAAGTTTTCTCCTTAGTCTCCTAGGTTAGAACAATGAGTTGTGCTCAGTCCATTTCTAGTCAGCGCGCTCTTGGCTTTCCTGATTTGTGTTCTTTTGTGCACTATTTGGGAAAAAGAAAAAAAGACGATTCTACTTTGCAAAAAGGTTCCTTTTAATCTCAGTAAGCTAGCCTTGTGCATTCTTCGAAGAAAATATTTTCCCCACTTATTGAGCATCTTTATCTCCTAGTCCATAGACTCTGGAACACTGAAAAGTGATCAAGACAAGATCCTCTGAAGTTTGACCTCACATAAGAGCTCTTGGGTGACTGCATTTAAGTTCTACAACTTTTCTTCTCTTGCTTTTACTCCACCTGACTCTGGGCACACACACACAGAAGATGCCATTACCACTTCAGTTCAGGTTCAATAAACATGTGTTATGTATCTAACAAAAGTCAGAAAGTGTGCGGAGGACTCTGGGCAAAAAGATGTGCAAAACGTGATGAGTCTAGTGGAGGAAACATGTGTGGTTATTGTAATACAGAGTGGTCTGTGTTTAGGCAGAGCCACGTACACAGAGCAGCCCAGAAGAGGCGCACTGAGCCCAGCCTGGGAGTTTGGAGGAATGATGGATGCACAAGTCTTGCATGATGGACAAGAACAAGCTGATGAAAGGAGAGAAGGACGCTCTGGGCAGAGGGAACAGTGTGGAAAAGTAGAGACAAGTAAGTGTTGTACTGGGGACTATGTGTTAAGAGATGGTACGGTGAGTCCAGAGGGTCAGGGCCAGGCTAGGAAGGATCTTGTGGGCAGGTTGTGTTGGGAAGGCAGGGCACTGTTTTGAAGGTGATGGGGAGCCATGGAAGGATTTTCCGGCAGGAGAGCCCTTAAGCTACATCACTTGGGCTCTAGCGTCAATTGAAGGTGCTTGAATGGGTGGGTCTGAGGCTCCAGAGGAGTCAAAGCTGGAAAAATACCTGGAAATGATCTTAACATAGCTGAATTATATTTTAAGGATCCCTGAATGCTGGGCCTATCTTCATAACAAGTTTGGAAAAATAATTGTTATTTACAAATTTAGGTCTATTTTGTCTCCCACTTGGCAAATGTATCAAAAGGCACATTTGCTTCCTTTCCTGGAATTGTTTTTGAAATATCCCTGCCTTCCCAGAAACTGAAGAGTACATATCCAGCTCTGAGTCTGTTCTGACATAATATGCAGTGAAGATGATATTTTGTAATTTTTCTGATTCACGGATGACTCATCAAGATCATCAGAGCTAACAGTTCAGAAAACACATGGGACAAGGACCTGGAAATGTTCTTGGTACATAGTAGATATTCAAGGAGTATCTGTAGTTTTTTAGTTTGGAAAGTGACCCTAAATGTCTAGAATTCACTCTGGAAAGAGCATTATAATCTGGGTTTATAGTAGTAAACATATCACTCAGACTCTTAACTTTGTGCTTTGTAAACCTAAAGCCAAGCCATTGAAATTTCTGGGCTTTTCACTGCATTGCTTTGCTTTCAGAGCACAGAAAGATTTGAACTTCTCCAACTCAGGACTCATGGGTATCAGCCAGATGCTCTTACCTTCTGTGGTTACTGACTGGATTAAAAGGGAGAAGATTAGAACCAAAGGGTTGGGGGATTTTGTGTTAAGCCCCTGCCTTATGGAAAAGCCTTGAGAAAATCCAGAGGCCCCTTGACATGATCACATAATAGACTTCCTGCTCGTGGGAAACAGATGGGGTTCACAGGCTGTAACTCGTTTTAAGCAAAATTCCCAAGCATTTCCTGTATCATATACTCCCATATGATATGCAATAAAGGAAGAAAACCACAATGAGTCCCCTGGGAAGATCCCCCTCATTTTTATAAGCCATGCTTACTTGCTTTTGATGTTTCTTTTAAAAAGCAAACAGAAACCTGACTCTCGGAGACAGAAATAAAGGAAAAGGGCTTTTTTGGATGGTACTTTGGGGCCACAGTTTTTTTCAAAAAGGTGTGTCATAAAAGAGATCGAAACACTTTTGCTTCGTAGAATGTCTGACCAATTGTGATGGTGAAGGGTAATGTCCAGATGGTAGGCACCCTTATGCCTTCCTCATACCCCAGCATGAGTAAACTGAGCTGGGTCTGGGGAAATTGAAGATTCCTACTTTGGGCAGGGGGCAAGAGTTGATAATACCTTGGGGTTGGGAGCACAGAACTTTATAGGTCTTTGTCTCAGCGTCCTGTCATTTTCATCTCATAATGATAAAAAAGAAAGAAAGAAAAGAAACAGAGCCCACTCTTGCTTGAGAGAGGAGTCATCCCCCAAATACAGACACTGTTACTGGCTATCCATCAAGCAACTTCCCATCTTCTCTGCTTGCAGACCCCAGTTAGGTTCCAGGTGGCACTGTGCCAGGCCTGTTCCCACTTTGCTGAGATACCCTCCTGGTCGTTTTCCCGCCTCCTGTGCTGCCAAAGGTGACCATGTGTCACAGTTCTGACCAATGAGACAGAAGGAGAAGTCCACTGGGAAGCGGGGGCACCTCTGGGGAAGAATAGAAATAAAGACATTAGAGAGTTAGAAACAAAGAATAGAAATAAAGACGTTCCTTCTGCTGCCTCTCTTCGTTCCTATTTGGGATATTGGGGCAAGGATGTTTGGTGTTGTGGTGGCCATCTTGTAATGACAAAGAGATAAATATCAGAATCAAAAGCCATGGGGAATGGTAAATGGAAGGTTAAGAAGAGCCTGGGTCCTAGATGATGTCTGTGAGTCATTGCACCAAGTATGGAACTAACTACCTTTGGATTGGGCATGCGAGATGACCAAAGATCTTTATTTCTTCAGCCCCCAGGGGGTTGGTTATTGGGTTACTTGCACCTGTACTCATCCAGACTGAAACATCTAATTTTGGCAGGTCCCAAAACACTTTGGCCCTTATTTTCACCTCCCTCCATTTGGAAGGTCACTGCTTTACTTTATTTTTTTTACTCACAAATACTGGGAGGCAGTAAAATGTGTAGGTCAAAAGCAAAGTCTTTTGTGTCCAGTTACATCACTTTCTAGTTGTACAGCCTTGGGAAAATTATCTATGTAAGCCTCACTTTTCTCAACTATAGAATGGGATAATGTAAAATAGGATAATAATGGTACCTACATCATTGGCCTATTTTGAATATAAGAAGAAAAAATGCAAATAAAGAGCTTAGCACAGGCTTAACATTTGTGGTTATTACCATTATTTCTTTTTTTTATTATGTTATGTTAATCACCATACATTACATCATTAGTTTTTGATGTAGTGTTCCATGATTCATTGTTTGCGTATAACACCCAGTGCTCCATGCAGAACGTGCCCTCCTTAATACCCATCACCAGGTTAACCCATCCCCCAACCCCTCCCCTCTAGAACCCTCAGTTTGTTTCTCAGAGTCCATAGTCTCTCATGGTTTGTCTCCCCCTCCGATTTCCCCCCTTCATTCTTCCCCTCCTGCTCTCTTCTTCTTTTTTTTTTTATTATTACCATTATTTCTGATGATGGGTACATATATTTGTTCACAGAGGTCTTACTGCCTATTGCCCATTTGGTATCCAGAGTTTTTTATACCTGATTTTTCTCCCAACTCTTGAAATTTCATTCTTCTGTATCCCAACTCCTGGATTTTCCTTCTCCATAATATAATCCATGGAGTCAAGAATCCTGCCCTGTGGTAATGGTAAGGGGGGGAAACAAAGAAGTATGGATCGTGGCTCTTTGCTTTAAAAAAATGCCTATTGCTTAGTCTGGCATATAATTCCACCATAAGCCATACTGAATAACAACATAGGACGGGAATCATCTTAAGGCAACTTGTTTCATGTTTCCATCAGGATTCCACCTGCAGGGTTAGGACCAGCTGGGTAGGGAAGCTATGCAAGGAAGTGGCAGATGGCTTGGAGAAAGGTGCTGGAGACCTACCTGACCAGCTGGGAGGGCCACTGCCCAAACAAACACGTTAAGGGTTGTCATTGTGGATCACAGAGCTGTAATCTTAGGGAGACAGTGGTGGCTCTGCCACCATGAAAACCAGCCCACCTCCTAGAGCTATGTGTGAAGGCCTCCTTTGGAGAGTGGTCAAGGACATTCTCAAAGAGTTGACTGAAGAAGAAAATGATGTTCCCAATGAATAGTAAGAACAGGGGCTTTTCATCCTTCCATTACTTTAAGCATCTGACCAATATGGGGGAAAAAACGGGATCGCTCCAAAATAGAAGTCAACAGGCCTCAACTGTGGCTTCCATCTGGATAACCCGAGCTATGGAGCTATCTGTCCCTTGTGCATGGTGAAGGCTCACTGGGCAATGACAGGTGGGATCAACTGAGCAGAGAGTAGAGCAATAGTTTGCAAGGTAGAGATGGGGTTGGACCGCTCTGACCCTGTCCGTCAGGGGGAGAAGAAGTCCGTGGGGAGGGGAAGGCACCCCAGGCTTTTTTTTTTTTAACTGGAGCCAGCCTTGGATGTGCCAACATTGACACTTGAAGGGGCATGATGGGCCAGCAGCCCCAAACATCAATTATAACAGGCAGAAGGCACCCCTGGGTCTGGCCTTTAAGCATGTCTTATGGGCCTGGCCTGGCTTAGGAGCACAAGGAGTGAGGTTTGTTGGCCTGGTACACCCCCGGTCTCAAGCCAAGCTTTTGGAAATCCCTTTGTTCCACTTGACTTTTTGCTGTTTGTGTTTTGAAGCCTGGTGAACTTGGATGTCAGGGATGAGAGTTTATATAAATACACAGGGGTTATTGCTTTTGCCCACATAAGAGCTGGTGTCTGATTGTCTTCAAATCCCAATCGCAAGAGAACTGTGGCAGGAAAGGGAGGGAGTGTGTGTGTGTTGCCCTTTGTGAGTGTCTTCACCACAGTAACGAAAACTACAGTGACAAATTTAATCCCACCAGCTTGACTAAAATCCTTCTTAGCAGCCCTCCCTCCCATGTTGCTGTTCTTACTGCAGCCTGCGGTCTCACTAAGGAGGCTTGTTCTGCCTAACGTCCAGTGACAACAAAGGCCTCTGGAATCTGTATGTCCCCAAAGGAAAGAAAGCTATGGGTTGAGTGTCAATGTTTTATATTTTGATTAAGAAAAAGAGATTTATTTGTTTATTCCCATTTCTTTCTAAAAAGGATTGAAGTCTGCTTACACTGGGAACAGGCTATATATTGTTTCCCCATGTAGCATGAGAACATGCTATATATTGTTTTGTTTTTCTTTGCTTTTTTGTTATTTATAGTATACAGAAATACTTTACTTTTATATTTTTCAAGCATTCTTACTCACAATTTCTTTGGTAATGTTTTTCTGTTTTTTAAAACCTGTAATTTATCTCCTTCTGCAGCTGGGTCAAAAACTACTTTTGGGGGTGGCAAACTAGGGTTGTGGGCCAACTCTGTTTTTGAAAATAAAGTTTGATTGGAACCCAGCCATACTCATTTGTTTATTATTGTCCATGGCTGCTTTTGTGTTACAGTGGCAGATGTGTGTAGTTGTGACAGAGACCATAGGACCCACAACGCCAAAAATATGTACTGTCTCGCCCTGTATAGAAAAAGTTTGCTGACCCCTGCTCTACTCCATAGTTTAATATATTTTTAACATATGATCTTGCCTCATTGAATTTATCCTTATTGACATGATGTGGCAGCAAGTGTCAGTTCTTCTCTACACCAATGTTACCCTGCTTCCCCTGAATGCCTAGTCACACTGGTACCTACCCAAACTGCAAAGGCTTTCTCTTCCCTCTCTGTCCTGGACAGGGAGCTCAGCCCTGTTCCTTGATTTCCACCCTCCAACACAGCACACAAGTCAGCATGTAAGTCGTGGCCAAAAGTTTTGGGTGAAAATAAAGAAACACCTTTGTAGTGAAGGTGTTTCTTTACACCTTCTGAAAGTGTATCTCTGAAAATCCCTCTGGCAACCCCTCCTGCCCCCACTGGAATGACCTCTAGGATCATCTTGCTCTTTAGGACTTAACCATATTGTCTGGCCCGTCTCTTCCTCAATACCCACCTTATATCTGAATCCCCCTCACTTGATCATGGAGAACAATCATGTATACATGGTATACCTGCACATCCTCTTACACCTGTATGTACCAGTTATTGGACAATAACTAGAAAGGGAAACATTCTGTGCATGTGTGTATGTGAGCAAGAGAGAGATTCAGGGGGAACCTAGGCTTCCCTAGGCTTCAGGTTTCTACAAGGAGAGATATCAGTTTGTGGAATACTTATGGCCTCTCTCTAACCCCTCACTCATTCTCCCCCAGGGAGAAAGGATGTCTAATATTATTGATATATTTGGGGTAAGGACTATGCATGTTGCTCCTTCCTCAGTCTCTTCCTTCTTGAGACACAGCTGCCTAGAGGTTCATACTCTGGTCTTGCAGTTCAGTGGAATAAGTTCAGCGCAGGGGAGTGGGGCATCTGGTCCATGGGGTAGGACTACTGATCAAGAGTGGCATTTGACAAGCAGAATAACTCCCATAGGTGGAAGCTTTTGGAGGGCCAGGCCATGTATCTGAAGGTGGGTTTCCCATTAGGAGACACTGAAATAATGATCTGAGTGTAAGCGGTTTACCTGGAAGGTGAGTTTGGGAAGCACCAGTAAGGGGGGGTGGGAAGGGAATGTAGCCAATTAAAGATGTATTATCAAGCCAGCCAGCACTGTGGATGATTAGAATGTAATCCCACAGTAGGCCCCGGAAAATGGTGTGGAATTTGCACCTCAGCATGATCCTGCTGGAGCAGTGAGGGAACTGAGGTATCTATACTCTCGGCAGTCATTGACTGAGGGCTGCTCCTTGAGGGGGTGAATTTCTGGCCTACCCCACATCATAAAGTAGCCTTCTTCGGCTTTAAGAAAAACCATTAGGCAAAGAAATGCAGATACTGACAGTTGGAAGTTCTTCAGGAGCTCCCTGAAGCTGTACGACCAGAGGGAGATGGATGGGGCTAGAATACTCTGTGTCACTAGCAGAGACTCCAATGTCAAAGGGTGAATTTCACATCTCCTTCTTAGTTGTGCTTTACTCTTATTGTGTGACTTAAGGATTGAGAGAATCAAATTTTGGGCTTTGGCAGGATTTGTTTTCTGATCATCTAATCTTATGTCTAGCTATTAGATGTGGCTATTTTCAGAGGTCATGGGTCCTGGCCCATCTCCCAAGGGTCCCCTACAGCTTCCTCTCTGTAGGTCCTCTATATAGGGCTACCTGCCTGCCAGACCCCAGCTGCCTCCTCAAGACAAGGGCTGTATTCCCATGACCAGCAGTAGCACCTTTAGTAGCCCAACCATCTCATGTCCATGTGAAATGGCATTTCTACTCCTTCGTACTCTGGATTCTTCTAGGAGAGAAGCTAAGGCTGAGAAGAACTAAAAAATCTAGCAATTAATTGATGTGCTCAGTGCTCCAAAAATCCTTTGGAGAAACAGATGGTGTTAACTCCATCAAAATTGTTCAGTTGGATTTGGTGATGGAAGGGCATAGAGGGCCCGAGGGAGGAAAGGGAGAGTGAGGGAAAAGCTGTCACAAGACCATGGATGCTGGAAAATCAGCTTTGATCAGAAATGAGAAAAAGAGGGAAGCTGAGGACAAGATAAGAAAAGTGAGGAGATCACAACATAACCATAGGCCAAACAGCAAAAACAACAAAAAAGGTAAAGAACTCTCCTGGTCAAAAGAGTAGAACTAGTAGACAGAATGAGAAAGAGGAAAAGAGTTGATGGAAGAGAGGAAAAGGAATTACACTGAACAAGGTGTGTTCTCCTACATCATACAGGATCAAACCATCCAGCCATGTGGATTCAAACAGAGGTAGTCCAAGAACTGGTCCAGTGGGCAGTCTCCTAGTTCCAAGTAACAACAGAAGACGGCTGGAATAGTTTAAATGTTTGCTGCTCAAAGAGTGGTACACAGACCAGCATCAAGCATCCCCTGGGAGCTCATTAGGAATGCAGAATCTCAGGTCCCACCCCAGACCTACCAAATTAGACTGTGCATCTTAACACAATCCCCTTATGATCTGTGAATACAGTGAAATTTGAGGAGCACTGGATTAAACCAAAATATTATGGGATGTCTTATGGACTCTGAGGACAAGGATCTAGCAAGACCTCAAGAACAAACTAGAACCAGCAACCTGAATACTATCAAGATGTTCCATCTATCTCTTGCCTCTACTTCTGAACAATAAAGTCCAATCATAAAAGTGAAGATCAAACTCTTGGGAATCAAATCTTTCAACTGCCAGGTTTCTCTACTTTTAAAATGATCATTGTGGATAAAATCAAAGCAGAGTCCATAGAGAACAGAATTTGAACACTTGGTTACACTCTGAGGAGAAGGTTGAATTTCTTTTAGAACTAAATGGAGACATCTGTTTTGTTTAAATTAAGGATCTGTAAGTACCAGCTAGGGACTGAGTTGACAGCCATTTCTATAATAAAGTAATAAATCATGGGGATGGTTAAAGAAGCAAGGAACCCCACATTCTTTCTTTGTTCAACCAATTAAGCAATAAGCCATCTGGGTCCTTTTGTTAATTACTGTCAAACACAACTTACACAATTGAATTCAGCCTTTTATTTAATTATATTAATTTATTTCAGCAACTTCAAATACTCACAATGCCAATAATTAAGTTCATTTAAAAAAATAGAAGTCCTGTTTAATTTTAGTTTGCAACTATTAATACCATTTACAAGGTTGCCATCTGAGAATTTTTAGCTCCATCTCAGCCTCAGGATGTTAGGGGAATTTGTTTTAAATATAGACATGTCTCAAGGAAGAAGACAGTGGCTAAAATCTCTTCTCTCGATGGGATGATGAATCTATCCAGATCAACACTGTCCAATAGAACTATTTGCAGTGATAGAATGTTCTATATCTGTGCTCTCCAATACAGTAGCCACTAGGCATGGGCAGCTATTAAGCACTAGAAATGTCAACAGCACAACTGAAGAACTGAGTTTCAATTTTTTAAAAAATTTTAATGAATTTACATTCAAATAACCACATGCGGCTAATGGCTACCATAGACAGCACAAGTCTGGAGTGTATTCTGAGGAAGGAGAAATGCAGTGGGCCATTGACTTAAGCTGGTGGAAAAAGAATACATAATTATGATAGGCATTGTTTAGAAGCCCTCACTTCCTACCTAGTTTTTCTTATTTGAAACACGTTGAATTCTGAGATAGCCCAGAGGAGATCAGTATCTTTGAAGGGAGGTTTCTAAGCTGACCATATGGAGAGTGAACTCCACTTGGAGGAGAAATAGGCATAAATGGTGTCTTCTTAACAGCAGAACCAACGCCACTCAACAGCTCCTTATGGCCGAACTAGGTAGGCCAGCACAGCAAGGAGAGCCATTTAGCTCTTGCCAGCACTGGCTCGGCTCTAGTGGAAGTATGTTCCTCCCCCAGTTGTGAACATTCAACCTGTGGGCACATTTGGGGGTCCCAGGCTCAGAAACGGCCACGTCAGTCCTAATGGACATTAATACCCAACTCTGGTTCCTTTCATATGAATTTTGGCTCAAATGCAGACATTTCCCTTCTGGGAGGCTTACCTCTTTATGGAGGTTGCTCTTTCTGATCCAGTCAATGCAAACCTTATAACAAGGCATCAGCAGAGTTTCTCAACTGTATACACTTTGTTATTGGGAACGCTCAGTCTGAGCTGACCCTTTCCAATAGCAACGACTAAAGAGAAATACATTGCATGAGATTCTGGTTGGGGTTATCCAAGGTAGAGAAGGGCTAGTGCAGGGTGAATGGAGGTAGAAAGTATGGAGGAAATTCTCATTTACATGAAAACATCCTATTCTAGGTCTGCTGGCTCTTGCTGCCTGCCAGGTTGAGCTGGAAAATTGGGTCAAAGCTCTTCATCTCTCTTCAACCCAACTCTTTGCTCAGTGACTTCTCTTCCTTCTTCCGAGCTATGGTTCAGCCAATGAACATGGAATTTGTCCTAATGAACTTAATCCAAAGTTTTGGAGATTTCAGGCCTTCACAACCTCTTCACACTTTAATTTTCACGGTTGGCTACACAGATGATCCACGGTAGGGCCATTTGCAAAAAATTTATCAATTGGATTTATGTATACTTGGAGGTGTTGCCCGAGACTGTCCATACCTCTTTCCTTTATCAGCGATAAAAGCAATTATCAAGTGCTCAATGGAAAAAAACAAAACAAAACAATCTTCTGTACTACGTAATGACCATCTATCAGAGATGAAGACAATGAGACAATGAATCCCTTTTTTTTTCTTTTTCTAAAACATCCAGAAGTCAATGCAAAAAGGTGCAAGAAGGAAAGACTTTCTATATTCATTCACGGAGCTTTCTTCTCTACTATCACCAGGAATACAAACACAAAAGGATCTGCTTCATGAAATATACATGCTCTTTTAGTTCTCTTGGGGCTGAACTGTGATGACTAAACTTCTCTTTTCCCTCTGACACCGGCATTCATCATTTATCCACGCTGCTGACGTTGTCAAATCGCCACAGCTGGCTGGCTTTTCCATCACACTGGCGCAAGTACAAATCTTTACTGTTTTCCTGCACCACAGCTTCCATGCATTTCCCAGAAAGAATGTGGACAATCATTCCATTCTGAAAAGAGAAAAAAAAGGAAAAGGAAAAAAAAAGAAAAACAAAAAGAAATGAAAACCAGTCAGTTCCCTGCAATCAGTAAGCAAAGAAGGATATTTCTAAGCTTTGTGCTAATGATTATGAGAATTATAGAGGTGGTGTGAACTGGCCTGGTAAGGAATTGTAGTATGTTGGTTAATATAAAATATAACTCTGGTAGCTCTAAATATAAATATTGTTTGGAAACTTGAGGTCATTAATTAAATTATCTTTATTGAGATTGTATAATTGTGCTATTTCTTAGAGAGTTCTGGTTAGTAGCATGCCAGTGTATAGAGCATGTTCAGTCTTTATACCATACTGGTGACATTCACTGTTATCACTGTACTTGTACATTTTTGCTTTCAAAAAGATTTAGTTTGATCTCTGCTCCCTGTGAATCCTGCAATTTAGTACTTCTGCCGCCAGGTTGCTGTAGAGAACAAAAGCTCAAGGATACACAGAGGGCCCAAGTCAGTCATGTTTGGAGGATGACAGCTGCTTCCTGCTCAAAATCCACCAGATTTAATATTGAATCTAGCCATCCCTTTTTCAACAAAAAATTGATTTGTTTTTGAAAAGCTAAACATTTTCACCAACAAGGCTGATAATGTCCATTTGTTTATTTTTTGAGATAAGATTCACATACCATGATATTCACTCTTTAAAAGTATACAACTTGATAGCTTTTAATACATTCACAGGGTGTATGCAACCCTCACTGTAAAAAGAAACCCACTATCCATTAACGATCACTTCCTGTCCCTCCCTCCTTCTAGCTCCTGGAAATCACTAATTTGCTTTCTGATTAATGGATTTGTCTATTCCGGACATTTCCTATAAATGAAATCATTTAAGATATGGCTTTCTGTGATTGGCTTCTTTCACTTTGTGTGATATCTTCAAGGGTCATCCATGTTGTAGCACAAATAGTACCTAATTTCTTTTTTTTTTTTTCTTTTCATTGTGGTAAAAACAGATAACATAAAAGTTACCATCTTAACCATTTTTAAGGGTAAAGTTAAGTAGTGTTAAGTATATTCACATTGTTGTGAAACAGATATTCAGAACTTTTTCATCTTTCAAAACTGAAACTCTACTTATTAAACAACTCTCCCCTCCAGCCCAGCCCCTGGTAACCACTATTTTACTTTCTGTTACTTATGAATTAGACTACTTTAGATACCTTATATAGGTGGAATCGTCCAGTATTTGTCCTTTTGTGACACATTTATTTCACTTAGTGTGATGTCCTCCAGGTTCATCCATGCTATAACATGTGACAGAATTTCCTTTCCTTTTAAGGCTGAATAGTATTCCATTATATATATATATATATATATCTATCTCACATTTTGTTTATCCATTCATCCATCATTGAATGCTTGGTTTGCTTCTACCTCTTGGCTATTGTAAATAGTGCTACTATGAACAGTACTTCATTGCTTTTTATGGCTGAACGATAATACTTTAAATTTTAAAGTCTTAGTTTTTAATGCTTGAATTATACTGGGTGAATCTTACTCACTAATCTTTCCCTTATTATTTTAAGATGTATCTTATCCACAGGACTTGGTTAAAATGATCCTTTACGATCATTCATAAAGGACCTTAACTTGGTTTCCAAGATGTCTTTGAGCATGTGTGAGCCCCCGAGTCTTAGGTTCACTTGTCACCAAGTAGGGAAGGAAGAGCCTTTCTATTGCTCCTAAAACCACATCACTGAGGTAGTTGGCTACTTCTGTAACATGCTCCATGGTCTTACTGGTGACCTGAGCTAATAAACTTCAAAAAGGGACTGTCTCCTCTCTCTGCCATGATCACCATCAGAGCTTTACAGAGATGTGGCAAATCAGTACACTTCAAGATGCTGGCGGTCCAACTTTGCTGCAAGGTTGGCTTTACTTCCTCCTGAGGCCTTGATGCCAAGTCACCAAGTTCAACAGCAGGGGCACTGGCCTGTATGGTAATACTTGAGCTCTTGGAAGACCCTGGGACACCTTCCCGGCTGCTGAATGCTTCCTGAACAGATTACTTACCTCTTGGAAGTCCCAGTGTTGTTGATGGATGGCAGGGCCTTCTTCCGAGCACGTCTGAAGAATCACCTGCTCTTGCCTGACATCAAAGCACAGTTGCTGTGGGCTGCCAAAGTGGATCTCCTTCCTGCTAGTGTGCTTCAGGTGCTGGGACAGGGGGAATTGTTGTTAGCATAGCTAGAAGGAGATCTTCTCTGAAGCTGGAGATGAAGGAAGGAGAGCTCACAATAGGGTTGAGGCC